AGAATTGTTAATAATTAAATACCTAGCACAATGTTGGCATACAGTAGGAGCTCAAATAAATGTTAGTGCTAGTAGTCTGGTTCTGGTTATTTTTCTTTACCATTTACATAAAATTATCCTTTTCTCTGAAGTTTTCTTTGCTTCATGGACTTGTAAGGAGTCCTTACTATGTGTTAGCTATAGTTCTAAGAGTTTATTTAACCTGAACTAATTCCTGTAACCTTCACACCTTATTTACCAATGAGAAATTGAAGCACACAGACATTAAATAGTTTTCCCAAAGTCACACAGCAGTTAAGAGGTACAGGTGGGATTAAAATCTGCCACTCTGGCTTGAGAGTCTACACCCTTTACTAATACACCTTGTCTGTGCAGGTAGAAGAGAAGAGGATTTCTAGCTATGCTCACATAGATTCTTAGCCTGGCTTTCCCGCAGAACTTTGCCCCTAGGCGTAAGTCTTCTAGGAGTAGGTAGTCTCTCATTAATTGAATTGATTTTCTCCTGCACTTGTAACTTAAGACCTAAAATCTATGGGAAGGTCTTTTATAGGTGAGTGGTTTGGGCTAATGGTGATGTTTGGCTTTATCTGCTGAATACTATGTATCATAAACGGAAAGCATGATTTAACTAGCTCTTCTGAATTTCTTTGAAGTTACTGTAATATGGTAAATGTGAAAATTATGGGTGATGATTACAGTGTTTTGATTTTTAAAACATTGCCTTTTGTGAGCTAGATGATTTAATTAAGTCCTAAGATAACTAGCATTGAGTTAGAAAATTAATTCCCTTAAAAATATAAAGGCCTTGGAGTCCTTCTTTCTGAAGCTCAGACTGAATTTGAAACTTAAGGGTAAGAAAATGAAAAAAACTAAGAACAAATAATAAAATGGATTTTAACCTGCTTTAAAAAATATTACTCATTAAAATTATTTCTATTTCGAAATTGGTAGGACTTAATTACCAAGAAAACTATTTTCCGTATCCGTTATTTTTCTTGAGGGAAATACAAGAAGAATTCTTAAATTTATGATCATTATTTTTTATTATAGAGCCTTTTTGAGTTGCCACTGTTTCATCACAATAGGCTTTGGAGAGTCAGTGAGAAAATATATTCACGTATGTGATACGTGGCTACACCCAAAGTATTTGATATTTTTTTTGGATAAACTGTTTTAAATGTGATTTTTAAATTTCTTGAGTGAAAAAAATTGCAAACGTGCAAGATTTAAGTATTAAATAGTATGTATTAATAACCAGATGTTTTGTGTTGGAAAGATGAGCAAGTGTTTTTTATTGTCCAGATAATGATAGTGTTTCTAACTTCTGTAGTCTTTGATACAGTTGTAATTAGCTTTTTGTTACAGGAGACAGTGTTTCCCTTTTTCTCACTCTTCCTCTCTTCTTTCCCTTCACCCCTTCCTTTTCTCTCTCCTTTTTTTAGCTAAAATTAAAGTAATATGATTTCACTTGTGGCATCTAAAAACAAAGCAAAATGAACAAAACCCCAGTAGACTCATAGACACTGAGAAGTGACTGGTGGTTATCATGGGGCAGGGGTTGGGGTGGGTGGGTGAAATAGGTGATGGGGATAAAGAGGCACGAAAATCTCAATCATAATGTAAATTAGTCATGAGGATAAGAGTACAGCATAGAGAATATAGTCAAATAGTTCTGTAACATCTTTCTATGTTGACAGTAACTATATTAGTTGGGGTGAGAATTTAATGTATGTAACTGTTGAGTCACTATGTTATATACTTGAAACCAATATAATATTGTATATCAACTATACTTCAATAAAAAAGTTTAAAAATTAGAAGTAATCAGAATATATCCTGTATTTCATACATCATACATACTTGCCAATACTGAATTTTCTTGAAATTGGATACTAATTTTCACACTTGAGTACTGAAGATTGTATTGCCTTACCTTATTTAATGACCTCTCTAGTTTGTTCCTATTAAATAAGTCTTAAAGCAAATGGCAAATACTACGTTTGAGTGCTGAGTCATTGTAGTTGTCAACTGTTTTTGTTTTTAGGAAGATCCCCACTGGGTTTGTAGTAGAAATAGAGAAAAATCTAACTGTATTTTCCTCTACCTCAGTTTTCTGTCCACCCTCTTCTCCCCTATAAAATAATTCTTTGCTGGTTAGATACCCTTTTTCTCTTCCTTAAGTTGATAGAAATTTAAGCCTTAGGTGCCATACTCTCAAAATCAAAATATCTTGTCTTGTTTTTACCAAATGGCTTAGGAAAAGTGGTGAGACTGTTGGAGCTCTCCTAAATATGCTTGGGAAAAGGACAGGTCCATGTAGTCCACTCCAGCTTTACTCTTAAGATAACCTTTTAGACTATAGGATTTAAGTACGTCCTCCTTAGTAGGGGAACAAGTGTTAAGATTTATTCTAGGTGCGGAGAGCTGAGAGAAAATGGTAAGGGAGTGCTTTAGTACACGAAGGGGAGGGTACTTTGCAGGAATGGGATTGCTTATTACTCCTTGGCCTAGCAGGAAGCCATACTATCAGTTCTCTACTAGGTATCATTCATTAGCCTTTATGGTGTTAATAATGGGTAGCTGCAGCCCTTTTTCTTAAAATGTATTGCTATTTCCCCATATACTGGAAAAATAAACCTGTTAAAATAGTTTATATTTACATAGACATTATTACATATACCTTTTTTCCCAAATGAAATAGGACAAGGAGTTAAAAAATTCATTTGTATAATGTTATAATTAGGTTACGTAGGTAAGATAGTTTTTTATTTTTGTTCCCCCAATTTTCTAATATCTTGCACTCTGACAGGAAGTGAGTAGTAGAGTGAACAGCTCTTTTTGGCTGCAGAAGTGACTTCAGGTATGTTTTTCCTCCTTTAACAGATGATTCAGGTGTCAGGGAACAGTATTGACTTTAATACTGTATGATAAAACCCCAAATAATCCTGATTATTTTGCTGCCTTCAACTTGTAGGAGAATGGGAAAAAACTATACAGAGAACTTAAAAAAGTTATCAGGTTTAATTAAAAAGTGATTTCCAGGATGTGGCCTGTAGTAAGTATACTTCCAGGTTAACCTCCAAGACTTTGTGTAATGGATGATCATAGTGGCCCTTGGGTACTTCCCTGTTCTTCAGAGAAGGCTGAAAAGATGTCAGTATATCTCTCAAGGGAGAAAAGTATACTAATTTTAAAAATAGTTTTTAATAACAAAAGTTGAAATCAAAGTGGTTTCCTTTCAGTTAAATAATATATTAAAATCAGGCAGTTATCTTTCTTGGTATTTGATTTCATTGAGGGTTTGCTGCAATTGAATAATAAGTCTTGAGATATTTTTCAAAAGGGAACAGTCTTGATATTTGAGAGGTATGTTGCATAATGGGATATGAGTTTCCTGGTGTCCAGAGGTGGTTGAGTTACTAGTAAGATAACAGGAAGTTGGTGAATTTTATAGTTTCTCAATTTTAGTGGAGAATAGAGGTCGAGATTTTGATCTGTAATCCTAAACAGTTACTTATTTACAGAGAAAGGAGTATGGCTGACAGATCAGACTCCAGGGCATAAACATTTTTCATATTGCAAGAGATAGGGTTGGTTTGTCATATTTCATTTTGTATCGTCTTATTTTTACTCAGTAAAAGGTGGAAATATTTATATCTTAGGTAGTCTTTTTCCTGAAAAATCTCCAAAGGCTTATAAATATGTTACAGTAAACAGAAACATGACACTTGGATTCATCAGACCTGTCCATTCTTGTTCCATTTCTATTAATAATAACCTGGGTGATTTTTGGTTAAATTCCTTAACCTTGTGGGTCTCTTTTCTTATTTGTACAGTCATAGGGTTGAAGTTTGTGTTCTATCAGTTTGGGCCAAATCAAAGATGCTAGGGTTCTCAGATATGTTACCTAAACCACAGAACACAAAATCCGTTAATGTGTGCCCTACTTACATGCTTTTCCCCCTTCATTTGCAAAAGTAGCTTAGGAAGAACCCAAGTATTTTGCTGGGAGATGATATTAGGACTTGGGATGGGGGGTAAATAAGAATACTGGGAGGCTGAAATTGCACAGGAGACCAGGTTGGGTGGCAGGAAAAGGAGAAGATGGTCCTTGATACAGGGAGACAGTGGAGTGCCTCATTGCTCTGCTTCATTTTGGTTGGGGTTCAGATCAGATGAGAAATGAATCTGTGTCAACAAAAGGCAAGTGAGAAGAAATTATAGCAGAGGCCATTTGGAGAGAGCCTTTACTAGATTCAGGCTAAGGGAAAGAGGTAATTCTTTCAGGGGAAAAAAGGGAGAATCCTATTAAAAATCACTTTGATTGGAAGGACTCAGGGTGCTTGTTCATATTTCACTGCTTCCTATTTGAGTGAAATTATGAGGAAATTCTATTGAAAATTGTCTTGGTTCCTGAACACCCACCACCAGGAGAAGTGTTCTAGTCTGTTGAACATCTAGAAATGTTCATATTTTATTGCTTTTTCAAATTTGGTAAAAATAGCAAAAAAACAAGGGAGTGGGGAATAGGGAGAATTGTGCCCTGTATCCTTTGTAGTGGGTTTTAGCACTGCAGCAAACACCTGTTAACGTCATTGTTCCCAGGGTCATTTGACTGTTCTGGCTGCCTAGGTAATGTCCCCGTTGCCACCAGTCCTCATGGCATCCCTTTTGGGCTTTGTGCTTGGTCAAAGTTTTGAAAGTAGCTGTGCTTCCCTTCTAGACCCTTTATACATGCTCTCAGGGTCCACTCTGAGGAGAAATGCAGGGTGGTTGAACTTCTTTGCTTCTTAGTTTCTTTTACAAAATGGTACCAAATTTTGTTTGAGATTTAAAAAAAATGTCTTTCTAATTAATAGATCAAAAATAAGTCTTAAGCAAAATATCTTACTATTTTTATGAGGAAAAAATATTGCTAAGAATCAGTAGTCAGCCATATAGAAATACTTATTCTTCTGTGATTTTACATAGAGTTTCAGTTTATTTTCTGGTTTCAATAGAACAAGTTGAAATCATCGCAGAAGGATAAAGTTCGTCAGTTTATGATCTTCACACAATCTAGTGAAAAAACAGCAGTAAGTTGTCTGTCTCAAAATGACTGGAAGTTAGATGTTGCAACAGACAATTTTTTCCAAAATCCTGAACTTTATATACGAGAGAGTGTAAAAGGATCATTGGACAGGAAGAAGTTAGAACAACTATACAATAGATACAAAGGTGAGTGTTTAATTGTGACTTTAAATATTTTGAGCCAGGTTTTCCAAAGTTACATGCTTCTTGTGAGAAATTAGATAATACATAGAACACAGATTAGGTGGATGTGTCCAACTGAGCTCTGTAAATCTTAGAATTACTTTAAGAGATCTGAGAAAAATTATTTTCCTCTTCTCACCAAAATGTTTTCTTAGCCTCTTTATTTGCTCCCACTTTCCACCATGCCTCTTTTCCTCCCCTATGATCCATTTTGGGGGCTGGAGTGGTGGGAGGCTGGGTTTTCCCCCTCATTTTCATAAAATTCAGCTGAACTGATTTTAAGGAAACCTGCATAATAATTTTAATAACCTTCAAATAACTATAAAGTAACATATGCTTTTTAAAAGCTAACCAGTATATAATAGATGGATAAGAAACAGTTAATGGCTTCTCCCTCTTTCCCTTGTTTATTATCCTGATGGAACCAATATTTAATAAACCTGGTGTGGATCCTTGTTTGTCTTCTGTGTTTATGCAGGAATATATATGCAGAGTTTATTTCAAAATTTTTCTAAAAATGGGATTATATTTTATGTATAACTCATGCCCAAAAGCCAAAGGATGTGCATGTTTTTTTATTCCTAGAGATGTTAGCAAATGACATTCGATAGTGGTGTGTGAGTGCCTCTTTCTTTCTTGTGTTTGTCATTACTTTAAATTTTTGCTATCTGACAAGTAAATATTTATCTATTTTTTTCTTTGATTTGAACAACAGATGTTTGTATTGTTGAGATTAGGATTGAATTGCAGAGTTTATGGCTGATACTCTCTTTAAGGAGTGATTGCTTTGGTAAAATGAACTTTGTTTTAAGAAAAAAAGAATTTCTGTAATACTGTTAATTTAGAATGTCTACTTACAATATGGATATGTTCAGTAAAAATCATTTATGCCTATACAGGAATGTCTGGTTTTCTGAATGTGTTTGAGTATGGGACATTTTTCACATGAATAAATGAGACTTAAAAATCAAATGCCTATCTGTATATATATCCTGTTCATCCTAAGAATGTTATTTTGGGGGCAAAGTGGCTTTACATATTATAAAGGGAAAATATCTGTTAGACAATATTTGAGTAAAGTAATTAAGCATTACCTTTTTTAGTTTTAGGAATAGCATATAATGCATGGAACTAATTTAATATTGCATTGTTATTTTCAAAGATCCTCAAGATGAAAATAAAATTGGGATAGATGGTATACAGCAGTTCTGTGATGACCTGGCACTCGACCCAGCCAGCATCAGTGTATTGATCATTGCATGGAAATTCAGAGCAGCAACACAGTGTGAGTTCTCCAAACAGGAGTTCATGGACGGCATGACAGAATTAGGGTGAGTATATAATTAACACAGGAAATTAGGGATGTTACTATGAAAATTACTGTAGGACTGAATTACGAATTTTTAAGTGTAAATTAAAAATTTTACCAGCCCTCAAACCTTCTGTAAAGATGGAAATGGGCTAATATGCTAGTTCCTTCCTATGTTATACAGTTTTCTGGCTTCGTCAAGTTATCTGTGTAGTTAGTGTGGCCTATTCCATTTGTGTTATACTTCTTTCATTTGCTTCTAAGGGAAGTTCAGAAGTAGTAAAATAAATTACTATGCTTTAATATTTAACATGGATAAGTGAAATGAACAAATTTTAAGTTACTTCTAACGTGAGGTTATGAACTCTGAATTGATAAAGAAATGTGTAGAATTTAAAATTTACTAAAAGGTACTAATCACTTTTTGTTCTATTTATACCTTGACAGCTGATTAGCTACATGTCTTGGACTAAATAGATTGAAAAGTCATGGGTAGAGGTTTTATAACTAAGGCCTCTGGTTGTCTATATTTAATGAGGCTGTAAAAGTATTCAGTCTATGGATAGGTAACTGGCTGCTCTTTCTGTTTTTAGTGGGTGACTATTGAATAATAATAGCTAACATTTGTTGAACATTGACTGTATTTTAGGAACTGTGCTGGGTAAGTACTTTTACTGATCTCTTCAAAACAACTTTGTGAGAGAAGTAGTGTTTATATCACTCATTCAAGAGGTGAGGAAACTTGAGGTACAGAGAAATTGTAGTTAGGTTCCATTAGAGCCAAAATTTGAACCCAGGTGTTCTTATTCTTGAGCCTGAGGGACATGATAATCAGTCAGGGTTCTGTCAAGACACAAAAACCATACCAGTAATTTGAACAGGGAAAGTTTTTAAAAAATTGTTTTATTGTGTAGAAGGGGTAAAAGAATACTGTAAGGTATAACAAAGGCAGCAGTTGCAAGAAGCTGCCACCACTTCTGAGGCTGAAAGACATGAACAAGGAAGGAATGTAGATACTTAAAAGATACCCCACAAGGCTGAGATTGAGACGTCAGAGGAGAGGGTGTGGCTGCTGCAGGAGCCCACCAGAGAAACTGGCTAGAGGCTACTTGATGCAGAGCAGTGTGAGCTGCCACCATTGGTGAGCACTGCTGGGAATTCCCAGCGCACTGAAACCCTCGCTCTCTGTGGAAAACAAGCTGGAATATGAAAAGTTCCTTCTTCCTCTTTCAGCCTTCATCGCCCTCTATTGGTGGAACCTTTAACAGTGAGCCAGCTGGCAAGAACAAGCAAGTCTCATAATCTGTAGTCCACTACAAATAGTTACAAAGAAGAGTGGGGTTAAATGCAATAAATTAATAACTGGCCTAGACACTATGTTCTACATCTAAAGCCAGCCCTGTTCTGAACTTGCTGGAATTTTCTATGCTAAGACAGGTTTCATTAGAATTCAAAAGAAATTTATTGAAGTATAGTTGATAGACAATATTATATTGGTTCCAAGTGTAAAACATAGTAATTTGACTGTAATCTACATTATTAAATGCTCACATCAAGTAGTGTAAGAACTCCTTTTTTTTTCATTTGAAACTGAATTCCTGTAAAATGTAATGAACTTCCAAATAAAAATTTTAATGTACAAACTAATGACCTGGAAGGTATTATAAAAAACTTAGAAGGAGAATAAAAGCAAAAATGTTTAGAAGGAAAAAAGGTATGATGATTGGTTTGTGGAATCTGTACTAAATAGAATATTTCCACCTTAAGTCTATTTATTATAGAAAGTAATAGCATGGAAAGTAAGTTGGTACTTGGTACTTGGACCCTTTCAACTCCTTGGAAATTGAATGCTTTGCAGATACAGAAAATGTTTAATATTGATTTGAGATAACTCCAGTTGGAGATGGTCGGGGGCTCAGCTGATAATTATTATACTTTGTATATAATAAGTAGTACGTTTTTGAGAGAACTACCTCCTCACCTAGGCAAGAGACTATTCAGTTAGTTTGGAAGCTAGACAAGTGATTTGTTACCGTATAAGGAGTATCTACTGCAGTTTAAAATGATTTATGTTGTACTGATTACATTCTCTATTCACTATGGCTAACTTCTACAATTTGGATGTATTGATAATCTAGTGAATTATGTAATTTAAGTAATAGCCCATTTCTTTTAAAAACAGTAATTACTTCTAACATATTTACTCCAGAACTTCCTCCAGTTAACCCCATACTTGTTTAGTAATGTAAAAAGATGAAATTTTTCAACTATCTAATCTCAAAAAAGTTCTGTGAAATAAATGTAAGCTGTCATAGGAATAAAGTCCTTAATTTATAGTGAAAAAGCTTATCTTTTATGAACTTAATTTTATAATGTAGATGTGACAGCATAGAAAAACTAAAGGCCCAGATACCCAAGATGGAACAAGAATTGAAAGAACCAGGACGATTTAAGGATTTTTACCAGTTTACTTTTAATTTTGCAAAGAATCCAGGACAAAAAGGATTAGGTAAGAATTTTTAAAAATTGCATTTGATATTCAAATACATTGACAAGTGTCATTTTTATTTTGTAATAGAAATTACATGTTTTGAGCATAAAGTGTTCATGAAAATACCAATTACTGAAAAACAATGGAAAACAATTTCTAGTTAATCAGAAACTACTGTGGACATTCAATAATAGAGTTATCCTGGATACCCTATGTGAACCATTGATTGCAATACAGAAAAAAAAAATTGTTAAAATTCCACTGACATATGTATACATGTTTATTTACTTGTTTATTTTCCAGAAGGTTTTGTAGGATATTAGGATCTTAACTTATTTTATATGGATCTGCTGAAATAGCCTTGTAAGATTTCTGAGTCACAGAATGCCAAATAAATCTATTTTTGGTTATGATTTATTTGGAAGCTATAAGAATAGAAAGGTGATTATCATTCATAATCTTATCCAGAAATAACCACTGTCAGCAGTTTAGATCAGTCAATTTATACTGTATGTAATATCCATACATTTGCTTTGGGGAATCTAGGAGATATGTAAAGGTACAGCTTATTTAGAAAGATTAGATGGCAGATAATGCAAAGTAGTAAATATATGAGGTTTTTAGATAAAAGTAGAAATGAGTAAAAGCAGGAATGGCTTGGAAATGCTTCTTGGGCTATTCTAAGACATTCTCATAAAATGTCTTGTATGAGATGTAAAATAAAGGACTGGGTATTTGGCTGGTCAAGGGAAGATAAAAGGTGTCTAGTAAGCTGATAGTTTTGAATGATGGTCTGGAACTTCAGAAATAAGCTTGACTTCGCTGTGGAAGTGAGAGAATGTTGATTTGATTTTAGTGAGAATGCTTGTTTGGAGATTAAATTGGTGAGACACAATAACGCTCAATAACCACAGGCTGCTTTTTGAAAACAGGACAGAAATGTTCAAATGGAAATTTGTGAGCAGTGGTGACATAAAGAAGATTTTAATGACAACAGTAACCTCCATTTAATGTGAGCTTTCAGTGTGTGCCTGGCAATGTACTAAGAACATACACTGTCTCATTTAATGTTTAAAAGCTTTAAGAGTTATTCATTCTTTCATTTGGTAATTCACCATCTGCCATGTGCCAGATACATAGTAATAGAGTGCTAGTCCTTTTTTATCCCTGTTTCGTAGTGAGGAAATTGAGGCACAGGAAGGTTAAATAACTTAACCAATGATGGAAGTGAGTTTGTTTTTTATTTTGAAGATACAGTAGTTGGACAGGCTAATATGGGCCTCTTGTACTAATCCTCCTTTACATTTTAGATTAGAAGGGAAAAAAGCATTGAGAAAAGGATTATGTGAATAGGGATTAGACCGAGAAAGTGATTGAAAGCTAGAGAGGAAGGGGTCAATGTACACATGAACACTTGTAGTAGAGAATTGGCCTAAAGAGTGACTAAACATGACTGAACTGATTAGATTTACAAAATAGCTGTAAAGCCAAATTATAAATAATGAAGCCTCCTTTCCAACAGATTCTTTAATTTAGATTGTGTTTTGTTCCTATAGGAAAATTACTCAATTTGCAGGCAAAATAAGCTGACACCCAAGGTTAGGTTCTCTATTTTCTATCTGTGGTCACCAGTAACTGGGCTATTTTTTCTGGTTTCCTCTTTTCTTCCCACAAATAAAAACCCATTAAAGTATTTGAATTTATATGTATATACTAAATGAATTGGTTTTGTTGTGTTCAGAAATGTAGCTCAATATTCTGATAAGATTAAACAAAGTGTGGTTATCAAACATTGATTTAAAGGGGCTGAACCAACCTGTTCCATACTTATATCCCTGCCCCTTACTGGAGCACAAAATAAATGGTATTTTTGGGTAAATATGTAGTTTTGATACTGAATCTTAGTTTTTATTATACTTTGTGAATGTAAACCAAAATTAAATTTTTATAGCTATTGGATGTATTAATATGATAAATTAGAGTTTTTAGATTACAGGAAAAATTGAGAAAAAGATTATGCTGAAGAATTAGATTTAAATGTTATTATTTTTCTATTATGTATTGAGCTAAAGAAAAAATGTAACATTGCTCAGTGGGTTTGAAGTTCCCATTTTGCAAGATGAAAGAGTTCTAGAGATTAGTTGCACAACAATGTGAATGTACTAACACTGCTGAACTGTACTTTAAAAGTAGTTAAGATGATAAATTTTATGTTATGTGCATTTAACCACAATTTAAAAATTGTTTTAGAAAACTACCCAAAACCACAGAATGTACAACATGGAGTGAGCTATATTGCAGATATGGGCTTTAGTAAATAATATATCTATATTGTGGCTCATCAGTTGTAGGAAATATACCACACTAAAGCAAGATGTTAAAAATAGTGGAAATGGGAACAGGGAGTGGGTATATGGGAATTCATTGTACTTTATGTTTAATTTTTCTATAAAACTAAAAAAGTCTTAATTTAAAAAGTTAGTTAATAAAAGACAAATCATAGTTTCTCTTTTTGTTTTGCATTGGTGTTGGGTGTCTGGAATTTTAATGCTTTGCTTGGTTAAAGAACTTAATTAAAAAGAAAGCAGTTTTCTTGACAGCCTTCCTAAGGGTTCACAGGGCTCTTAAATTACAATATTTGGCAGAGAGGAATTAGAAGATCATAGGAGAGGAGGTGAGACCCAAAGCAAATTGGCAGAGTGACAGTGACAGCACTGTGGTTTATAAATAGCTATGTGAGTCATAATGGAGCTGGCATTTTCCATATTTTCCCATGTTCTATAATGTTATTCCTTGTCACACCAGGATACTATACTTCCTCTGTCACCATCTGGTTTAGTTACCTGCCATTTCTGATAGTCTTCTCAATCTCAAGTTTGAAAAGGATTTCGTAATACATCTGTCAATCTAACCTATCCAAAGTAACATCCATGCTGGGTGCTCATTTAGTTTCTACTTTTGAACATGCAAGGATTGAACATACATTTTTTTAGGAAGTAGTCCATTTCCATCACAGAATACTTATTCATGTTATCACACAGTCCATCCTTATTAAGTTAACATCTTTGTCTTTGTAACTTCTGCTGTTGCTCTCATTTGTCTTCTGTTGCGGCACAGAGAAGTCTAACCATTTAAAGATCACTATCACTTACTCCTCCTTTTTTTTTCCAGGTCAGCATTCCAGTTATTTTAACTGTTCTTCATCTGAGGAAACCTTTTGTTATTGCTGTTACTGTCCCCCCAAGGCACATTTCCAGTTTCTCAGTTTCTTTCAAAATAGAACTCTTAAAACTGAACATAATACACCAGAAGGAGGCTGTTTAATGTAGAACAAACACCATAGGCCTCTTGCTTTTAGTGAGACCATTCATTCTATTAATTTGGTTGAAAATTACAGTTGTTCTTTAACAGCCATATCATTTTCAGGACCATCTTGAACTTTTATTTGACTAGAGTTGGTAGGTTATTTTATTGGGAACTGTGATTTAGCTAGAATCTTACACCTATGCAGTTGATTTAAAAATTAAAGTTAAGGATTTAAAACTCAGAAATAATTTTATAGAGTGTTCTTAAAGCATACTTTCATCTATATTATCCCATTTGGTTCTTGTAACAACCCTTTGAGCTAAGTAAAAAACCTATTGTCCTCTTCATCATAAGGATAAGGAAGCTCATGTTTGCAGAGGCTGACTTCTTATTAAGGCCACATAACTAGAGTTGGTAGAACTGGAACTCAACCTCAGATCTTCTGACTCCACATTCCTTTTATTTGTGTTAAGTTATGTTGTGCTAACTCTTAGATATTTCTAAGCAAATTAAGACACTGTGAGTAGAATTTTTAATTACCATTCTCTCCTCCCTAGTGAGTTGGCAACATTTTGTTTCCCTTCGGGACAGTGTCCAGATCCTTTCTGAGTCCATTTCCTTGGTCAGTTGGCACTCAGTTGGCCACCTTTTATGAAATCCCACATTGCCCTTGTTGATTCTGTTGGAAAGAATGACACTGGGATTACCTCTGTTTGCATTTTTAATTTTACTCAGAAGGGTCCAAGAAATTCATTCTGCAACTATCTCAGTTTTAGGAAGTACTGTTAATTAGGGCTTGGTTTTTTTCTTTTTCTCTCTGTTTTATTTCTGTTTATTCTAATTGCTGATGTTGCCTCTTGTACACCATTGAATTTGCTCTTTCCAGTGCTGCTTCAGAATCTATTAGTAATAATAATCTTAAAAATTATTAAAAATAAATCATGGTAATAGTAAGGACTCATATTATTTACCAGGCACTGTTCTAAATGTTTTATATGTGTTAACTTGTTTATTCTTACAACAACCCTGTGAGAATAGGTATTGGTATTTTCTACTGAAATACAGAGAGGTGTACTCAGTTGCTCAACATCACTTAACTGGTGGTAGAATTGGGATTTAAGAGGCTAAACTACTCTATTAAACCACTTCTCATGCTGTTTTCTGTCATTCAGACATTTCTGTCTAAAGGGCAGTTTTTCCTATGCTTGTGGCAATTGTCATTTTATCTCTGTACAGCTTAATTTTAATGCATTTCAGCTTTTAATGATAACTTATCTATTTGAGTATTCCTTTTTGATTCAAAAACATTTATTGACCCTTTATTCTGAGAGTTTGGAATAGAAGCCTCTTAAGTCTGTCTGAGGAAGTTTGCAAAGTCTTTACAAAGATGTATAATTTCTGAGCATTGAAGAATGAATATACTTTTCCAAGGCCAAAAGAAGAAGAAAAAGCTATTTCTAATGTGGAGAGATTAGCAAGTTCATTTGCTCAGATGTGAGAGACATGGCACCTTTGAGGAACTGCAGGTTAGTTCATTTGACTACAAGTGTAGATTTTATCTGAAAGCAATAGGAAATCATTGGCAGAGTTAAAAATTTTCTTAGTAGACTTTGTATTTTGAGCTGTTTTGGGTCCATAACAAAATTGGGCATAAGGCACAGAAATTTCCCATATACCCTCTGCCCACACACATGCATAGCTTCTCCCATGCTGACATCCCCCGCCAGAGTGGCACGTTTGTTACAGTTGTACCTACACTGATACATCATTATCACTGAGAGTTCAAGTTTCCATTAGGCTTCACTCTTGGTGTTGTCATTTCTGTGGATTTGGACAAATGTATAGTGACATGTACCCATCATTATAGCAGCATATGGAGAAGTTTCGCTGCCCTAAAAACCCTTTGTGCTCTGCCCATTCATCCTTTCCTCCCTCCTAACCCCTGGCAACCTCTGATCTTTTCACTGTGTCCATAATTTTGCCTTTTCCAGACTGTTGTATAGTTGGAATCATACAGTATGTAGCCTTTTCAGATTGACTTCATTCTCTTAGTAATATTCATATGCATTTGTTTTCTTCCATGTCTTTTCATGGGTTGATATAGCTCATTTTGTTTTAGCACTGAATAATATTCCTTCATCTGGATGTACCACAGTTTATATATCTGTTCACCTGCTTAAGGACATCTTGGTTGCTACCAAGTTTTGACAATTAAGAATAAAGCTGCTGTAAACATCTGTGTGCAGACTCCTGTGTGGACATAAGTTTTTAGTTCATTTGGGTAAATACCAAGGAGTGTGATTGCTGGATTGTATGGTAAGAGTATGTTTACTTTTGTAAGAAACTGCTGAACTGTCTTCCAAAGTGGCTGTACTATTTTGCATTTCCACCAGCAATGAATGAGAGTTCCTGTTGCTTCACATCTTCGCCAGCATTTGGTGTTGTCAGTGTTTGGATTTGGGCCATTGCAAAAGGTGTGTAGTGGTATCTTGTTGTTTTAATCATTGAAGAATTGTAACATGGAAGTGACACCAAATTTCTGTTCCTGAAAGGTCCATCTGAAAACATTGTAGTTGTGTAAAAGCAGTGGAGACAGAACTAGAGATTGGTTATGAAGCCATCACTGTGATTTAGCCAGACATAAGAGGCCCCTATTATACATAGGCCCTGCCAGTGGGGATGGAGAAGAGAGATTTATAAGGTACTTAAAAGCCAAAATGAGAGAGCTTCAACTGGATGTGTGTGATGAGGAAGAAAGGAGTTTCCCTGGTGAATCTGAACACTGTTGGGGGAAACGTGGGCGTGTTTTTGGGTTGTCATGACTGAGGGTTTCTACTGGAATGGGGGAGTGCCAAATGTCCTGTGATGCATAGGACAGTTCCTCACAGTGAGAAATTGTGTTTCATTGAGAAACACTAAGGTGATGCATTCCTTGAGAATTCCTTGAGAAAGATGGAATATAAAGGTAAGATAATGAGCTGACTCTGAGCCCTGTTGAAGATACCCGTAGATACATGAATCTAGAAAATAGGAGAGTTTCAAATTTAGGAGTTGTTAAGAGATGGTAGTGCATAAAACATGAAAGAAGGTTAAGGTTTGAAAAATCTGACGGGAGTAGTAGTGGTTAATGCTGACATACAGTGTTACAGAACACCAACATTTAATGGGTGAGTGGAGGAAGAAGAACCAGTAAAAGAGAATAAGAAGGCCAGAGAGGACAGGAAAAGGAATGGAGTGCTATGGCTAAAACTGTGAGAAGTGCCCATTCCATCCAGGTGTGGTGTGCTCAGTTCTCTTAAATATGGCAGTGAGCCAAGTAATAAAGGCCATAAAAGCATGTATTTGGCAACCAGAAGGGTCCATCGAGTGGCCCTGCAGGGATCACTTTTGGTGGGGTGAGTCCATAGGGGTGGGTACTGGATTATAGAATTAAGAGAGTGTGGGAGATAAGGAAATGTGGCAACACACTTAGATTGAAAAAGGTTCTCTTTCATCACCTGAACTTCAGGTATCATACATGTACACTCTTACTCTTGTCAGATTCTTATTGTGTCAGATGACAAATGGGTGTTTATAGGTGTCTTATGGTTTGCAGTTTTTTGGATATTGTTTATTGTTTCTCATCCTTATTTTATAAAAATGAAAAAAAAATGCTAACACTAGCAATAAGCTTAATTCTAAAAAATTCAATGCATTTGAAGTGAAAAAAAAGCATGTTAATAACAGCAAGTGGGGAAAAAAAGCATGTTAATAATAGCACATCTCAGAACAGCAATTTTACCTTATATTGGAGGTAGACAATATTATCTTTAGGTGGTAAAGAAAAGAACAAAATTTAAGAGCTTGGTAGGGATGTTGGGTATAGAGTCTTAAAGCCTGCAAAATGAACAAGGTATTGTGATTAGGAGTTAGTGTCATATTTCTAGGTCTCTTAAAACACGGGGATCTGAATTTGACTTCAGATACGTTTTCAGGAGCACATTATGTATATGTATTGTTTCAATATCATCTGTGAAGGGAAGAGGTAAGAGGGTAGCTAGTAAGGGGATGAGAGATCCAAGAAAGATTTTTTTAAAGCTAAGCAATAACCTAAGACCATTTTTATGGAGGGGGAATAGCTGGAAGACAGGGCAAAGTTGAAGATACAGAAAGAGAAGAAAACCGGCTGTTCCCGGAGGAGGCAGGATGGTACTGGATCCAGAACAGTGTTAGGGGTTTATCCTTGGATAGGAGAAAAAAGGCACCTTTCATCGAGTTTGAAGGAAGCTATAATAATGAATTTAAAAAAAGTACATTTGCACATAGATCCATAGGAAGTGTGTTCTTTTGGCAGTTTTCCATGTTTACTGTGTGTTTTAGTCTGCGAGTTTGGGGATGTGTGGTCCTAATACTTGAAGAGGTTAAGGGCCAGTGAAGAGGATTTTTTTTGCCCTGTGGCTGATACATTTCCTTTGAGGTAATATGTGAGCTTTTCTGTAGTCTTTTCTAGTCTCTAATGATTCTTCAGATTGTCAAGAGTGCTTTGGAGAGCATATCTAAAAGGATTTTTAAGTTACTTTGGGTGTAATTTTTCCTGGAGATGTAAATTTACGCATAAAAGTGTGAAACTTTCTTAATTACTTTAGTTCCTTGGAAGAGATCACAGTTCTTTCTTCTCTGTCATGTGATAGGTATAGTACTTTGTCATGTGGCAATATTGCTTCTTTACCCTTCTCTGCCTCAAACCCAATTAAACAGCCATTTATATCAAACTTTAAAAACTTAGTATTATTAATTTTAATTTTAAAATCAATATTCTCAACGGTCTTGAGGGCAGGACCAGTCGGCCAACCTCTTAGAGTTTAAAATTGGTTAGGATTGTGGCCAGCAGTCCTTTGCTTTACAGCCCAGAGGTGTACATCAGTGGTTCTCACTGGGGGCAACCCTGCTCCCCAGGCGACCATGGGCCCTGTCTGTGGATGTTTTCGGTTGTCACCATGGGTGCTGGATACAGCTGTTGCTGGTATCCCATGGGCAGAGGCAAGATGCTGCTGGAGCCCCAGCGCGCAGCACAGCCACCACAACTAACAATCATCTGGCTCCGAATTTCCAAAGTGCTGATGTTGAGAAACACTGGTGTACATGAATTGTTAGCTCACGTTCGAATACTTATGAGCTTAGTTAAGCAGAAACCACCTTTGAGGTAAGTGGTATCCTTCTTGCCCTGAAGGTGCTGTTCATTGGTGATGGAAGCCAGATACAAGCCTTAAAACTTAGACAAAATTGTAGGAAAATTTTAATACATAAGTATTCAGGATGCAAACTTTTTTTTTTTTAAAGCTATCTTTGGTTTTACCGTTTTTTTTTTTCAGGGACATATATTCATGGCATTTGAAATACATAACTTATTTTTGATATTACAGATCTAGAAATGGCCATTGCGTACTGGAATTTAGTGCTTAATGGAAGATTTAAATTCTTAGACTTATGGAATACATTTTTGTTGGTAAGTCCATGTGTTTTGCAGCACTGTGTTTTCTCTAAAGTATGGCTTGGTTGAAAGGAAAATTAACATCTTAAAGCATGACTGACTTATCTCAGAGCATATAGTAGACACAGAATGAGAAATTTGGTTACCAGAATGTAATTACACAAGTTGTTTTGCATTCTTCTATTTAGCATCATCCAGACTGTTTTCTTGAAACTCTTTAGTGATTTGGATGTGTTTTGCTTATTTTTTTTAAATAATAGGAACATCATAAACGATCAATACCGAAAGATACTTGGAATCTTCTTTTAGACTTCAGTACAATGATTGCAGATGACATGTCTAATTATGATGAAGAAGGTAATGAAAATTTTTGCCCTACCATTTTTTTTACCTGCCTCTTTCTTTTATCACACACTCTTGAACTGGTCTACTCCTTTTTTTCTTGGAGTTGGGTTTCCTTCTTATAAAATGCCTTTGTTCTTTTTACCTCCTTATACTGTCCTCTTTCGTTAAATACCAACTCAGTATTCATGTCTTCCAGAAAGGCATAAGTAATTTTCATCCATGTTTTACATTTTGTTTACTTTAGGAACCGTCTTCTTAATATACTTTTATACTTCTATTTTTTTATTGTTATCTGTCTTGTCTGTAAACTTGATTATAAACTCCTTAAGTTTAGTGACTTTGTCTAATTTGAAATGTACCTCAGCTCCCTAACCTGTAGTATTATTGGCATGCAATAAATATTCACTAATTGAATTCCTTTCTGATGTTTCTTCATGTATGAGTAAAGGTGGTGCTCCCAGCCACTACACAGGATATGTGTGCTTTTTGTTTTTCTGGAATTGGAAGTAATTTGCATTGATTTCTTCGTACATATTTACCTAGTTCCCCTTGAGAATTAGCAAGATGCATTTTTTGAGGTTGTTGAGTAAACAGAGTTATTCTTTGAAAAGTCTTCAGTGACTTTGGCCTTCTTAAAAGTGGCCTTGGACTGTTTAACCAGGGAAAATGTTATTTTCTTCTCTTTGTTTTCATTGTCATTTATAGTTTTCACTAGAAGGTGAGAAGTGTCTAATCCTATATATTACTGATAATCTGTGCTTTGTTTGGCCTTACACAAAACTGGAGAACTTCCTTATCTGGAGGTTGATATGTGGATATATACAGTTGGTTCCTAAAGTAAACTGAAAATGCATATATGCGATTTTAAATCTTTTAAGTAATTTATTTTCATGAAATAGGATAGTTTGCTACTTGCTATTAATTTCCTTTGTACAATTGCTACAAAAATGCCTGGAAGCTGGTTTCCTCCCTACTCTGTTTTCATCACACCATCATATCATGGCTATTCCTGCACTGCTAATTTTGACCTAATTACTTAAGTGGCATCCAGGAAACCATTATTTTTTTATCATTCAAGCAATGACCAAGTGTTCAATAATACAGCAGAGAGAATACAAAGAATATTTTAGGTAGAAACTCTAAAAAATTAGAATTTTGGAAATTTTATTAGGGGAAATATTTATAATGATTTACTTTATTATGGAAAAGGTATTTAAAAAAATTTAAGATTATATTAAAATGTTAGTCTTATATTTGCTTTTTTTTCTTTCCTTTCTACTCTTTTTTTTTTTCCAGGAGCGTGGCCTGTTCTTATTGATGACTTTGTGGAATTTGCACGCCCTCAAATTGCTGGGACAAAAAGTACAACAGTGTAGCACTAAAGGAACCTTCTAGAATGTACATAGTCTGTACAATAAATACAACAGAAAATTGCACAGTCAATTTCTGCTGGCTGGACTGAACTGAAGATCAATCCTCACAATTCAAGACTGAGGGTTGAGACAAAACTTTAAGGATACATCTTGGACCATATCGTATTTCATTCTTCTAATGGTGGTTTGGGCTTGTCTTCTAGTCTGGGCCACTCTAAACATTTATAATTCCAACATTGTGGATTTCATCTATCTGTGGACCATCCTAGTTTATCCTCCCATAAGTCTTAGAAGCTTTATGGTGATTATTTTGAGGTTTCCATTCTTGCATAAAGCACAATGCTGTCTTCATCAGGAAACAGTTTGGCATAAAAATTAAATGTATGAACATCACAAACAATTTATAAAAACTTCTTAAATATATGCTTTGGGCTAGTTGCAAAGACTATGCTAATAGCACTTCCAATGAGAGGGATATATTTAAGTGTACTGGATCTGCAATGATGTCTTGGTTTGGGGGATTTTTTTTCTGGCAAATCACATGTAGTGTTGATATGAGTAGAGAATCTGATGAAAAAAATGTCAAAATAACCAAGGTGAAAAATTTTTAGGATAACTTGGTGTGCTTACCTGGAAATTTATTGTTTCAGACCCTCAATTTCAAAAGGTTCCACAGAACTAGTTCTGCACTTATCTCACCATGTTTATGTGTAGTCCTACAGGGAGCTTTTATTTAGAAAATGTCTGCATAATGGTAGATTCTACCCATCTACATTATGCACTACATAATTGGATTTCATTATGATTTTGAAATGCTTATATGCCTGTTGAATAAGTTAAACTATTTAATTTGTTTTATGTTTTAGACTGCTACACAATACAGTATATAAATTTAGGCATGAGGGTTATTTTATTTTTTTTGTTTTTTTGTCAGCGCACTATGGAACACAAATGAAATTCTTTTAATTTATAAGAAGATAGTTAGGAATTAAATTTTGAAAATGGTCGTAATGAGCCATGATGTTCAATCCTATAGGTACTGCTTTCAGACATATAGTCCATTTTTGATGACTTCTTATTTTGTTGAAACTGCTTTAACTGCTAATCACTGTGGTTGCCAAATATTTCAGGAGCAAACATTTTCAAGCAAGCATGCACTCGATGCAAGTATCAATTTGGCTTTTATTTTCATAAATTATTTTGTCTCTTTACTGTTTTTGTTTCACTCCTGTTTAGCTCAGTTTTCACATAAAAGCAGAATTGTATCTTGTATTTTTTTGTTGTTACAAGACCCATGAACTGCTTTCATGCTGAAAATGCTCATGTCTCTGTTCACTTCTTCAACAGGCAAAGAAGGGTTTATTGCTTTCTTAAACATTTCTGAATGGCAGGTTAAAAAATGTAAAACTTTACTGCTGAGTATGGTCTTTAGCGGGAATAGATTTTGCGTGGTGTGTCCAGGCATTTTCAAAGGTCTGATGTTGACATCAAAGGAATGTACTTCATAATAGCAGTACATTTTATTTAGGTGTGGAAGTGATTTTAAGAAACAATGACATATTAAAATGACTTTTTATTTACGTGATTCTGAAACTGACTAGAAAGTTTTCTCCATAGGTATTATATTAATATTCCAATCATAACTTAAATTCAGGAATACAGTTCTACCAAAAGGAAAATTCTATTCAGGTTACTGGAATTGGTTATTAAAAAAAAAAAAATCTGCTGCTTTCAGTATTTCCTGATTTCATATTTGTAAATATGAAGAGGAATTTCAATTATGAAAAATTTAAAAAGATATATATGTGCTATTGTTTCTTGTCTTGCAGATCTTGAGTTATAGTATTGTTTTCAGATTGATTAATTTGAGTATGCTGTTTTGAAATGAGACGCCATTAGCTTTTCTTTTCCAGTATAAATTGTTTAAGAAAGTCTGATATTGGTTCATGGCCTAGTGCCTTGGTTTTACAGACTTTTCCTTTTAAGTGCAAGACCTTTTCAACAAAATAGTGTTTGTCATCAGTTTGGTACTAAACATTTATAATTACTGTGTAATTATAAACAAAAATACATAAAGCTTTGAATATAATTATGTAGCATAAAAGTTAAGGTTGTTCACTCTATGATGGCATCTTAGAATTAAACAATACTATTACTAGGGCTGAAAAGAAGACTGGTTCAATGTGGTGTGATTATTCTGAGGATAAATGTCTGGTTACAGGGAATATTTTGTACTGAAAAATGCTTTTCACATATGGCTGGGTGTGTGAGTATGTGTAAGTGTGTGTCTGTGAGAGAGATTGACAGAGGTTGAAAGAGACACATGCTCACACACAATTTTAATTGCTTTAATTCATTTACTGTTTTCTCAGTCTTCATTCTGGTAAATTCCCCATGCTGATTATTATTTTGTTTTAAACTGAACCGCAGGTACAGTTTCCTTTTTTGCCAAATGTCACAACAGGTACACATTTTAAAATGTAATGCTTTTAAAATAGAAAGTGTATAAAATTAGAAGTACCCACATATAAAAATACTTGAGGTCAAGATTATCTTTAGTGACTATCATCTGCATATCTCTGTAAGTTCAACTGTGTTTCTTACAATCCCTGTCATACTACCAACAGAGGCAATAAAAGCTTCAGTGAAATTGCCATGACTAAATCTTTTCACATATTATTTCAGTGTAATATTTTTAAAGACTAAAATATACTGAAAACTTTTCCAGGAAGAGTAATTATTCATGGAAAGAGCATTGTAATGGCAAGTTCTGGGGAGAAAAGACATGCCAAGTCTTGTTTACTACATTTAAATGTTTACAACTATACTGGGCTGCTTTACCTAATTAACAGTACTGTAGTTGTGTAATATGGAATTGTAAGTATTGTGTTCTTCATTAGACTTTTAAAAAGTTTTAATGAGAGAAAGTAAACAATAAAATAACATGGAAAATCTTTTATATAATATCCTTACTGGGGAATTCTTATTTAAGCAAGGTATACTATTTTTTTTTTCCTCAGAAAGATTTAAGTGAATGAAGTATTCTTCTATTTCTTATTTGATGATAATCAAGAAGTTTGAGTAGTTATAGCTAGTTTAACATGCACTTTGCTTAAGTTTTTTTTTTAACAGGTTACCATTAAGATTACATATTGTAAACTGTAACTTCTGCATATGAATGACAGGAGAAGGTTAAATCTAATTAAAAAAATTTGGCGTAAAAAAGGAAAGTGGTGCTGGGGAGACTTACTATAGTTCACAAAGTATGCCTTTGTAAATCTGAGTCACTTTTAGCAAGAATTAATTTATGTAGTTCTAAATGTTAAATTGTGTATATTTAACAGAAAATAACTTGGCAGCTCAGCAGTTTTAAATGTTACTTTATACTTTTAACAATATTGATTTATATTGAATACATAGATGTTTTGATAAGATTTTATCAAATTTGATAATGTAATGAAAATGTTTTTAAAATGTGAACTATTTAACATCTTAATAATTGAGGACAACAATACATGAATTTGTGATTACATAATGTGATAATTAGGGTTCAAATTATGGCTCATTTGATTATAAACAAGTGTATTTCTCAACTCTTTATTTGCCTCCATTTTTACAATCATATCAATAATTATTTTTACTTTATAGAAATGTGGTGAAGTTATATATCTTGATATCTTTATCTTTGATTTCTGAGGGCAAGGGGTTTATATTTTATAGTTCAGATAAATTTGAAATTTTGTAATAGTACAAGTCCCCTTTTCCAGGGTTATCCTTATTATTTGTTGCCATTTTGGTTGAATATTTGTTTGTTTTGTACCTGATTTTGGAGGCAGATAGTGCTGATTTTTAGAACTCCTAATAGAGTTACATAATGGTTTTACCAGAACATTCTTGACATCTTACCTTCTTTACTGCCTGTTGGGCAATTGGCATATCCTACGGACCAACTCATTCATTTGACAACTTCATTATACCCAGTGTTTTGTGTAATTATGGCTTTTGGCTTTGATCCTTTTTAAACTGTTAAATAAGGAAATTATGATAAAAAGGTGCATAACCTTTGTAGTAGACAGAATTCCTAAAAAGTAGTCTTAATTTACAGAGTTTAAAGACATTATTTTGGGAATCATTTTATAATTACCCACTTTAAAAATAGAGATTCTAAAAAGAGTTTTTATTTATACCAAGTTTTTCTTGCAAGTATTGCTGAGGTATTTTCAGTTTAATTTTTTTGTATTTGTGCTGTGCAGAAATCAGTGTAGCTTGTAACGTAGAGCATTGGATTTCAAGCCATACCTTGAGGCTCCTGTATTCCATGAGATTGGGCCATGGCTGGCAGGTCTTTCCTTCCATTCCCTCTAAAGCTTTTTACTTAACTTGTGTAGGTTATTGGCATTTCACATGAGATTTGGTTTTGGGAAAAATGTTAGGTTAAACTTTTTTTTAAATAGCTGCCTCAGAGGGAACATTACCATGGCAGATCTTTTAGTGAAATGGAAAGAGATGCAGTCAGACTGAAATAAAAGGAGGTCATAGAAGGCAGCACTACTTTGGAAAGAAGAATTTTGACAAAATAGTGAAAGCAAAGCTTGATCTGAGACAATGAAGACTTTGACATTTATACGAGGCAACATGTTAGTGGCTTAATGACCAAATAAAACAAGGGATAATACTCATTTTATGTTTAGAAAGTATGCATATAGATGCATGTTCAATATAAATACTTCCAATTTTATTTCAGGTTATGAAATACTCTAAGAAAACTTTGTATCTAATGGAAAAATTGGGCAATACCAAGCAAGAGATTTTTATGAAAAGGAACAATATAGGGCATAAGTTTAGGGGAAAACAAAATGGCTAAGAGAAAATGCTAATAATATAAGCTGTAGACCATTATTTTGTCACATAGTTACATGACACATAGCTAAAAGAATAATATTTTATCCATAAGGTTTAGAAATGTAATTGGAACCCTTTAAAAATAGCATGTTTAGTTTTTAAGCAAATGCTAATATTCTCAATTCTGATAGAATGCATTGTATTGAAATTACATGAAATGAATAGGCTGTCAACCAGAGCTTTAAAATAGTTATTCCTCAGATTCTGTTGTAATGGTACTTAAGTAACTTAATTATAGTTTTCACATCATAAAACTCATTGAAGTGTACAAATAAATGGTTTCAGTAAATTTACAGAGTTGTGTGGCCACCATCACAATCCAGTTTTAGAACATTTCCATCAGCCCATAAAACTTCCCCTCATGCTTCTTGGCAGTTATTTCCCAATCCTACCCCCAGCTCTAGACGTCCACACTCATCTATTCCTATAAATTTTTCTGACTGGAAATCACACATAAATAGAAGCATACAATTTGAAGTCTTGTATCTGGCTTCTTATACTTTCATAATGTTTTTTGGGTTCATCCATGTAGCCTATACCTGTACTTGGTTCCTTCAGTTGCTATATAGTTATTTCCCTGTATGGATACACTATACTTTGTTTATTCACATATTTGTTAATGGATATTTGGATTGTTCACATTTATTGGTGGTTATGAAGAATGATACTTGAACATTCACATTTATGTCTGTGTGAGCTTACGTTTTCACTTCTTTTAGGTAGATTTCTACGAGTGTAATTGTTGGGTTGGTTGGAAAATTTTTGTTTTGACTTCTCTGAAAAACTGCCAAAGTGTTCCAAAGTAGTACCATTTAAAAATATCCCTGCCACAATGCATAAGGGTACAGACTCTCCATATCCTTGTCTTTTCTGTTAGTCATTCTGGTGCATATACATTTTAAGTTAGCAATCCTAACTTATGTCTACTGGCTGTTCAATATGGGTGAATATAAGTGGTCTGAGGGGTTGCTGTAAAATTAGTTACTATCGACATGTACTTGTAGTACTCTGTGGCCAGTAAGGTAGTTATAACTTTTCAATGGGAGTCGTGGTACCTTAGTGAACTCCGGTGAGGAGATGAACTGTGTAAGTGAAGAGTGGTGCTTGATGGCAGGTGCTGTGTGCTGTTGGGTGTAGCCGTGGTTGATACACCTATTCATTTACCCTGTTACTAGTGGCAATCTTTAAACATTGTGTAAATAACTGCATGGATATGTCACAGTCTCATTAAGTTTCCCAGAGCTCCTTTGCTTCGAGGTCACTGGGAATTTCCTAAATTTATGAAAAATTTAGTTGTTATTTAGTTGCTGTCAGCTACCTGTGCTCTTACACCTAGTGGACATTAAAGTAGTGTTTTTTATTTTTGATAGAAAATTTTAGACATACACAAAAGTAGAATAGTATAATGAACCTATTTCAACATGATCAATTCATGCTCAATCTTGGTTTATCTCTATGTCACTCATCTTCCCAATCCTGATCTATTTTGAAGTCCTAGATAGCAAATAATTTCATCTGTAAATATTTCAATATGTATGTCTAAAAGATAAGGACTCTTAAATATAACCATAATATTATCATCACACTTAAAGGTTAAGACATTATTTAGTCAGCATTTTAAATTGTCTATTTTTTTTCTAGTTGAAGTCAGTATTCAGTCTCCATACATTGCATGTATATGTAAATCTCTTGTATCCTATGAGTCCCCATGTTCCCCACTCCTTGGTTTGGAATTTGTTTGAAAAAGCAATATGGTTGCTTTAAATTTTGTATTTCTATTCAATTAATAGTTAAGGTGACATGGGATGTACTTAATCAAAAATGTATTCTAACTTGAAAATATTTTGAAAGTTAATGTGTGGTATAAAAAAACTATAATAATTGTATCAACAAATGTTCCTTAGTTTAAAAATATATTGAGATTTGTGTCCAGAATACATAAAGAACCCTTACAACCTAACAATAAAAAAACAGCCCAATTTGCAAATGAGCAAAGGATTTGAATAGACATTTCTCCAAAAAAAAAAAAAAATATATATATATATACAAAATGGCCAGCCAATAAGCACATGATGCTCAACATTACTAGTCATTAGGGAAATGCTCATCAAAAACAATGAGATAGAACTTCACACCCACTAGTATTACTTTAATCAAAAAGACAAGTAGATAAGGATGTGAACACATTGGAAACTTTGTACATTGGTGGGAATGTAAAGTGTTGCAGCTGCTTTCAGTTTGGCTGTTCCTCAAAAAGTTGATGTAGAATTAGCATGTGACTCAGCTGTTCTAAGAATATAAGAGAATTTAAAATACAGTCATACTCTAGCCCTTGGTAACCACCATTCTACTTTGTGAATTTGATGATTTTAGATACTTCACATTAAGTGAAATTATGCAGTATTTGTCTTTTTGTGATTGGTTTATTTCACTTAGCACAATATCCTCAAGCTTTATCTATGTTGTGGCATGTGACAGGAATTCCTTTTAAAGGTTGAATAGTATTCCATTGTGTGTATATACCACGTTTTGTTTATCAGGGGATATTTGGCTGTTGTGTTCATAGTGTTGCTATGAATATCAGTGTGCACCTATCTCTCTGAAAGCCTACTTTTCAATTGTTCAGGATATGTTCCCAGAAGTGTGATTGCTGGATCATGTGGTAATTCTGTTCTTAATTTTTTTGGGAACCTCCATACTGTTTTCCATAGCAGTTGCACCATTTTATAATCCAGCACTGCACAAGGCTCCAATTTCTCCATATCCTCACCAACACTATTTTCTATATATATTTTTCATACTAGCCACCTAATGGTATGAAGTGATAATCTCACTGTGGTTTTTATGTGCATTTTTCAGATAAGTGATGTTGAGCATCTTTTCATATGCTTTTTTGGCCATTTGTATATCCTCTTTGGAGAAATGTCTAAGTCCTTTGCCCATTTTTGAATTGTGTTATTTGACTTTTTTTGTTGAGTTGTAGGAGTTCTTTTGGTATTCTAGATATTAGCCATCTGGTCTAACTTCATTAAGTCCAGTGTTTCTCTGCAGATTTTGTCTGGCTGATGTATCCATAGATGAAAGTGGAGTACTGAAGTCCCCTATGTTAGTGTATTGCTCTCTATTTTCCCCTTTAGTTCTGTTAATACTTGCTTTATATAAAAGTGGGTTTTTTTGGTGTGGGATCTTTAGGGCTTTCTACATAAAAGATTGTTATCTGCAAACATTACTTCTTCCTTTTCAATTTAGATGCCTTTCACTTTTCTTGCCTACTTGGTCTGGCTAGGACTTCCAAGACTTGTTGAACCGAAGTGTTAAAGAGTGGGCATCCTTGTCTTGTTCCTGATTACAGAGGAAACGTTTTGCATCTTGCACCATTGCATATCGTTAGCTGTGAGTTTTTAATATATAGTCTTTATTATGTTGAGGTATTTCCTTCTATAGTTTGTTAAATGATTTTATCAGGAAAGTGCTGAGTCTTGTCAAAATGCTTTTCTGCATCAGGATGATCATGTGGCTTCTGTCCTTCATCCTGTTAATGTGTATTAGAATGATTGATTTTCATGTTGAACTATCCTTACATTATAGGAATAACTCCCACTTGGTTGTGGTGTATAATTAATGTGCTGTTGAATTTAGTTTGCTGGTATTTTATTGAGGATTTTTTCATCAGTGGTACCGGTCTGTAGTTTTCTTGTGGTATTTCCTTTTCTGGCTTTAATATCAAAGTAATGCTGGCCTCACAGAGTGAGTTTGGAAGCATTCCCTTTTCTTCAATTTTTTTGGAAGTTTGAGGATTGATGTTAACTCTGTATGTTTGGAAGAATTTTCCAATGAAGTCATCTGGTTTTAGATTTTTCTTTGTTAGGAGGTTTTGATTATGGATTGAATTTCCTTACTAGTTACTGGTCTGTTCAGTGTTTCTATTTCTTCATTATTCAGTTTTGGTAGGTTGTGTGCCCATTTTTTATTGAATTATTTGTCTATGTATTGTTGACTTGTAAGAGTTCTTTATATATTCTAGATACCATGTCTTTATCAAATATATTATTTACAAGTATTTTCTATTCTATGGATTGTATTTTCATTTTCTTGAGTGTCTTCTGTGGCTCAAACGTTTAATTCTGATAAAGTCCAATTTGTGTCTTTTTTCCTTTGGTTGCACTTTAGGTTATTAAATCTAAAAAGTCGGATGCCCAGCCCAATGTCAGAAAATTTACAGTTATGCTTTCTTCTATGAGTTTTATAGTTTTAGCTCTTACCGTTATGTCCATAACTTAATTTTTGTATACTGTGTCGAGTCCAAATTAATTCTTTTGCCTGTGAATATCTTTGTTGGGAGGTTTTTGATTACAATTTTACCATACTGCTTGTTAAAAAGACCACTCTTTATTAAATCACCTTGCTACTGTTGCTGAAAATCAGTTACCCCAAAATGTGTGGGTTTATTTTGATGCTTAATTCCCATTAATCTATACATCCTTTCTTTTGTTAGAACCACATAGTCTTGATTGCTGTAACTTTGTGGAGTTAAATTTTGAAATCAGGAAGTGTAAGTCCTCTAATTTGTTCTTTTTCAAAATTGTTTTGGCTACTCTGGGTGCCTTGCACTTCCATATGAATATTAAGATCAGCTTGTCAGTTTCTGCAAGAAAATCTAGCTGGGACTTTGATGGTTGTTTTGAACTTGTAGATCAGTTTTAGAAGCGCTCGTAAATTTTGCCTTACTTCTCCATGTTTCCCCGTGACGTTCTTAATGCCTAGTGTCACTGCCTTCATGTAAGTTTTCATCATGTATTGTCTTGAGTGCCTGCTGTGGCTTTCTATATGTTCTCTCTGCCTTTATTTTTCTTCTAACCACTTATTCTATTATAGGATGACTTATCTAAAAGGCTTAATTAAAATCCGTTGGTAACCCCAGAGCCTTCAGAATTTATATTCAAATGTCTCTGATTCCTTAATGTGTCAGACATTATCCTGGGAATACAGCAGTGAACAAAGCATTCAAAATAACTGCCCTCATGGAGCTTACATTCTAGGATGAGGAGATGTAGTAAAATAAAATATATACTGCAATATATAGTGAGAAGTGCTATGGAGAGAAAAAAAACAGGGAGGGGGATGGGGAACATGCCTTTTTAAATAGGGTGATCCGGAAGGATCCATAGAAATAAATACCCAAAGCAATGAGGTAATAAGCCATGCAGATATCTGAGGAAAGCTTGCAGGCAGAGCAAACAGTAACTATAAAGGTTCTGAGCTGGCAGCATTTCAGGAACATCAAGACTAGTGG